GTGGCTAATCTGTGGGCCAGAGGACAGTCCCTAACCCAGTTTGTGCATTAGGTAGCTGTTGCTCTAAAGTCTGGAGTTGCTAAGATTCCTGATCCCAAATAGGTTACTCCAGCTCGGTGCACAGGGCTTGCCTTTGGGAATGAGAAACAATCAAAGTTCTGCTCTTAAAACTGTTTCGTTTATTTGTTTGTGGCCAGCAAGGCGGTAACACGTTGCCAAGAACTGGGTTTGTTTGAAAGTTCTGCTCCCTTCCAAACACATACACTGACCATAAAGCCAGAAATCAGGATTTTTTTTGTTCATTTGGGGTTTTTTGGTTTGGTTCTCTCTGTGTGTGTGTGTGCGTGTGTAGTTGATGAATTTTTTGCACTCCTGCAGAGGTATTCAGCTGCAAGAAAGGAGACTCACCCCGAATACTTAGGCACCCGAGTAAGGTAGGCTGGATTTCCTCTGTAGGTTTGCTGGCTCATATTCATTTTTCCACAGAAGCAGCAGAAGTATTTGCTCTGTTTGTTGTCCTAGGAATCAATCTGTACGGAGTCCTTCCTGGAGCTGAGAAAGGGAATTCAGCCATATCCAACAGTGAGAGGCGTGCATGTTGGTCGTCGTGGCTGTCGGTCATGCTCAGTGTTTCTGTCCTGCGTACGTGGGTAAGCTTCCCTATGGGCAGGTGGCTGCCCGCAGGCAGGGATGGCCGCGTTAACCTTTCCAGCTTCTAGGGAAACGAGGTGAGCAGGACGCTCAGGCTGACTTCTGCGAGAGCTGAACAGACGGTGCTCGGGGAAGCAGTAAGCGTTTTGCTGATGGGAGTATTTGGAAATGTTAATTGTATCGAGGGTACAGCTAGATCCTCAATTTCATTTTTCTGGGTGAGTTCAGTGGAAGGAAGAAGCTTGTGGTAGGTCAGGGAATAGCCCATGTGTCGGAAGTCAGACAGCAAATCCTTCTACGTACAGGGCTCCAGCCTGTGTGTGTTTAGGGCTGTTCACCACCTACGAGCGAGGGCTGAGCCATTCTGGCAGAGCATGCTGTGCATTTTTGTGTATATGGAGTGTAGCCTGAGACTTCTCACTCTGCTCCCTTGGAGAAATGTGGTGCTGTCAAATCAGCAGTTACCTTTTACCAGCGCTATATATTCCTAAAATGAAAGGTTCTGTTGTTGTTGTTAAAATGACCGACTAACAAAATTATAATCCTTTCCAAAGGCTTCGTGCAAACCTGATGCTCCTGTGAGCGCTGCATACTCAAATAGAACGATGTATTTTCTGCTGAGAGCAAGAGATCCAATTTCTGTGCTGTTTTATGGGAAAAATTGGTTACTGGCTTTTTGATAAACAGTGAGAGCACTGTGGAGAAGGGGGGAAGGAGAAAAAAAAAAAACAAACTAGCAGATGATGTTGTAGTATTTAAGTACTTCTCTTGTAGAAGAATTGTTTCCAGGACAACAAGGTTGATGGAGTTATATAGTGAGTATGTGTTTCCTTTCCTCCTCATTATTAGTTATTAATCAGTAAAGTAGGAAGACCTCTTTTCGTACTTTAGTCATTTGCAGAGAGTTGTGTCCATCAGTTATTTTTAGTCTACATTAGGTTGTCTGTGTGGCTCTTTTTAGCTATTTAGAAGAGAATCTGGTATGCAATAAATCATGTTTGTGTTGGTTTTTAAGATCACATGGTATCCAAACAAATTACTGCCTCTGGACTACTAACAGCTCTGGTTGGTTGGTTTGTTTTAAAAGAAATAAAACAACAGGTTTGTGCTTTAAATTTCCAGCTCATCTCGCTGGTGGGATGGGAGTTTCTTTAACTGTTTGTACAGAATTTTTCCTCTGTTGGTATAATACGTATTTTTTGTATATACTAATGATATACTGTCATGCAAATGAATTTGGAATAATTAAAGGAAATAATTTTCCCCTAGAGTATATTCAGCTGTAGGACTCTATTGTGAGATCTATTTTCAACTGGAGTTTGGAATTTGGAATAAGAAGCCACTGAATTAAATGTAGTTGCCAATTTTAAAGGGGCATTGCTAGCATAAAATCACACCCATCTCGAAAATATGTTGATCTATTTAAAAGCTGGAGGAGTATGATGAAATCTGTACTTGTGTGGTTTTCCTTTGTATATTTTATTGTACTCAGAGTTTAATTTTTTCTGGATTGTTTTTTTCCTTCACAACAACATTTTGAGAAAAGAAATGTCACTTTTTTTTTCTTTTTTTTTTTTTTTTTTTTTTAAAACCACAAATATTGGCTGTGCATTTTAGAGGCAAGCATAACAAAAATAGTGGCCAGGTCATTAGTGAAAAACATGCTTTATAAAGTTCTATTGTTGTTTTGCTGAATTAAATAGCTTGAAGTTTGATGGTGTCCCTTTTAAAGGAGTTAGATGATTTCACACCCTGTAATGATACATGTATTTATTTCATATTAAGATGTTAGAACTTAAGTTGATGAAGATTTAGAAAACACTTCTTCTCCTGCATAGTTGTCTGGTGAATTAATGAGATATTCTGTTTCCTTCTGAACGCACTGGTGTTTTTCTGCTGCTAAAGGTTGGATGCCACATGCTAAGATCGATGCGTGGTCACTGTTGTAAGCCATTAATAGTTTTATTCTTTGGATGTGCTTTTCCATCCAATTCTACAACATGTTTATGAAGACCGCACTTTATCAGTTTAGGAGAAAACAATACGACATGGGGTGAAAACAGACATGCATCAGGACTGTGACGATTGCTGTGCCTTCTCCATATCCCGTGGCTCTTTAACTTGTTGGAAAGGGAGGTTAAGCAGGATGACAAATCCATGTTGGCATTTACTTGTTGCTTTGTTATCCCCTCCTGGCTGCAAACCGTAGCCAGAGTCAGGATTCTTTCTGACGAGTGTCCTCCTCTTTCCATCTCCTTTTTTTTTTTTTTTTTTTTTTTTAACATTTATTTTTCTTCCCTAATCCCCCCCTTGCAAATTACCGTTTTCAGCAGAACAAGAGCAGTGCTAACCTTGAGTGATGAGATGGCTCTGTACTTCGTTTTCCACTACGTCCCCTGTTATTTAGTTATTCCATTATCTGGAGCGTACCAGTTCTTTATGGAGGATTGAGTAGTTCTTCCAGGTCACCACTTGGCATAGTAAGGGAGTAAGGAATTTTTTGCTGCTTCTGCTGAAGGTTTACTAATTATGTGGTTAAATAGAGAATGTAGCATTAGAGCATTCTTTTTAAGGACAATACTCTCATTACTCTGCTTAGTAGATTTTCTTTTTTGTTTGATTTTTTTTTTTTTTTTGGGTTGCTTGCTTCTTTTGTTTTAATCTTCCAAAATGCTTTAAAAAAATTAATGAATTCCAGTAAGGTATGGATATACTTTCTCTGGTTTTACAGATTTGAGTCCAAAGCACAGAGCAGGACATAATGGCCAACTTGTTCATATTCAACGCCCATTGAAGGGTCTTAGGGCTCCTGAAACACAGGGCTAGCAGATACAACCCGAGACCCAGGGGCAAGTCATCACCTTTCTGAAGTAGGTGCTGGAGGCCAACAAGAACAGTCACAGAGTCTAACAGCACACTACAGAGCTGTCTCAGAGCAATTAAATCCTCCTTTACATTTCTTCTTTGGTAAACTTTGCGATAGGATTTGGAATTTGTTTCTAGTTCTTCAGTGTTATGCTCAAATCACAAGGCACTCTCCACAATTCATCTTGATAGAGCGGTTTGGTGTAACAGAAATATTCTCGCAATCAAATCAGAGAAACAGAAGTGAACGATGGAAATATTTTCCAGTGCTGACTAAAAGCAAACAGTAAGCTTCAAGCATTAATTAGCAATATAATGAGAAACTTCAGTTCAAGCAAATACTTTTTTTAACAGAGTATGTCTTGTCTTTCATGTGTTGCAGAAGAAAGAAATGGTGACCGAGTTGTACAAGCAAACCAGGACAATCGAAAAAGTAAGTCAATGTTCACTTTCCTCTTCTATGAGACTATAGGACAGTTGTTCTATAAGATATCCATTTAATTAAGAAGGCAATTAGCTTTCTCTCATTTCTTTGCGTGTAGCATGTATGGTTTGTAGAGCTGTTCTGAGTACCTGATTTCAAGCTGTGTGGTTCAGGGTGAGTTGCATTAGGTAGATCGTTCCTCTCCCTTTCTCATGGAAGTGTGAAGGCATGAAATAGTTCAAGGTTGTGTCATGTAATTGCATTATTACTGTTGTTGTAACAGTGGTGGTCCAAGGATGTGGAGAGGAGAGGTTTGTAAGGCAAGGTTTTATCTCTTCTTAAACTGTTTCTGATGAAGTCTGGAGAATCAGGCCAACCTACAGGAACGCAAGAAGAGTTGGAGAGGGGTTTTGGGCTCCAGAGCTTGTTAGTATTCTCTGTAGTATCAGTTGGTGTAAGAAAAGTTTTAACCTTACTTTAAGGTTGCTGTGTGTTTGAGTATTTTGGAATATATTAAAACCATTTACCTGAGAGCACTGTATGTTTAGTATGGGAGTTTTTTCCATTTTGGTCAAGAAAGCAGGCTGTTTTTCAGTAGTATTTCAGATAGCAAGCCTTACAGCTTACCTTTCTGGTTCACTTGCAGTAGACAAGGGCAGATTTTAAAGATAGATGCTTGTAACTGTCTTGAACAGAGCATGTACTATGTGTTAACAGCATCTACATTGCAATTGTAATAACAAAACCTAAGATGATTCTGAATTTGGTTTCACACTGGCTAACAAGTGGACTCATTAAAAGATTGCGGGAGGTTTTCTATGTATTGTTGACTCAACTTTAAAATATCTATAAGTCTGAAAAATGTGTCTTGGCTTACTTACTAAGGAATGAGTACGTTTTTAACGCATAGGTTTTGAAATTATTGATGACTCCAATTTGTTGAACAGCCTTTATGTGGTGCTTTATTATTTTTCTATTACTTACACAAATGTAATTTTAATGTATACCTGTGTCTCTCTTTTGTCTGAAAAGTTTAAGTAATTCTACAGATGTGCTTTTTATAGACACTTTCTATTAAAAAAAAAAAAAAAAAGTGGTAGAACATGTGTCAGGCATATGCAATTCCTTCAGCATCATGTTTTCCACACTGATTTAATAGCTATTGAATCTCCTCAAAGATTCTTGTTTCCAAGACCTGTTTTATGGTAATAAATCTTCTTGGCTGTAAAATTCTTGAAATGGTTCAGTAGTACGATTGTTTCCTTAGCACATTCCCTGAGAGATCATAGTTAGAAATGGAAAAGTCCTTAACCAGGTCAACTTTTTCCTTGCAATACATATAGACAGTGCTGGAAGTGATGATCAATGAAATCGCCAAGGTTTATTCTGGCGAACCGCTATTGCCCAGTGCTCCCTACTATCTGGATTTATCTCTAGGTAATTTTACAGTAAGATTTCTACTAGAGTGTCATACTAAACTACAGTGAGAAACGCCTAGATAGGTAAAGAGCTGTGGCGTGGTGTGATGCAACTCTTCACTTAAAAGAAAAAAAAAAATTGTCTGAAAATTCCTATCAAAAACTTTAATAAAATGATGGAAGACTGCCTTAATTTCCCTATCTGTTTGCACTTGAGGCTAGGGGATGGCGTAGTGTGCACAGCAGGCTTTTTGGCGTAAATGATGGTAGAATAAGAAAAGATGAATCCAGGCTAGTTAACACCTTCCTTCTATACATCGAGTGCCGTTCCTAGTTGTTGGGTTCTCATCACGTGTGTAAACTGTAGCAACAGTGAGCTGCTTCAGCGTGTGGTCTGTTGCATTGCCAGCTTGAACTCCTTTGGGTTTGTCATCAGAGCACCTTCGGAAACTGCAGGGCCACATGCGAGATAAATCCAAAACAAATGGTCCAGTCCTTGAGGTAGATTGTAATTGAATAAATTGTCAGGCGTGCAGGGATGATTACGTTGTGATACCTCGTCTGTCGAGCTGTGGAGGGTGAGCACATGTTATATAGCCCATGCGGCTTTCTGACAACTGGAGAAGGCTCTTAAATTGGGTATTACTGGGAGCAGGTAAGAAAGGAGTTCTGTGTATTAGGTTTCCAAGGCGATCCATTAGGTAGTTCATCTGGAACATCACACGGGCAAAGAAAAGGGAGATGTGTTTTTGCCAAAACTCTCTGCCCAGCTGGAGCTCCAGGTAAAACCACCAGGTTACACGGGGAGAGACTGAATCCCTTGATCGTAAAATTTGTAACTTTCTGAAAGACTGTTTTCTTTCTTTGATGTTTTCCTAGTAGGACCTCAGATGCTGGAATTGTCCTTTAGGTTGTTCTGCACTGAGGGAAGCAGTAAGTCTGGGGTTAGTTCCTCCATGGGCGTTTCCCAGGTTTTGGGATGCTTGACCCTCTTTCCTATCTCATGATAGGGAATAAAGTTTTGCAGTTACCCCAAGATTTATAGCAGATCAGTGTATTAAATCTGCTCTCACCTTTGTTTTGGAAAAGGGAACCTTGTAGTCTCATGGGCCTCATCTTGCAAACAGAAAGATTTCTTCCATTTGAACTGTGCATTTTAATCAGATGCTTTTACTGCAAGGCATAAATGGTAGGGTTTTCAACGTTGTGCTTTAAAATGATCCAAACCAGCTTTTGTTATATTCTTAGATACTGCTAGTCACGATAGGGAACAGCCTCTGCACTTAAAAGGTGGGCTCAGAGATCATTTCTACTCCGCAGGATCTCGACAAGAGTACAGTTGTGTCATGTCAGCATATTCATTCCAGTTCATGACTTGCAGAAGAAACGGTAATACTATTTTGTGTGTGTGTGTGTGTGCACAGATGTTTTGAGGGTTGGTAGAAGTATTTGCTGCCATAGTCCTGTTTGAATTGTTGGGTGGTTGTGTGAAGATGGAGGGTGGTCTAACAAGTGGACCAGATGATGAGAAGGTCTTTATTGGCAGTTCTGCTAACTCGTGTACCTTCACAGAGTCGCTTTGTGGGTTGTGTTTGTCACTTGTACCTACTAACCTACTTTGGATACATATGATACGTATTAATGTTTTGACTGTTGAGCAGTAAAAGCTTGATGTCTGACCTTATGAGACAGCCCGCTCCTTGGCACACACGTGAGCAAACATGTGTCGTGGAGCACGTTGCCATTCAGTCTGACAGCTGAGGGAGCTGAATGATGAGGAAGGTGTGAAAAGTACAGCCAGCAGTGGTGAAGATAGCCGTTTTCCTCTTTGGGTATCCCTTTCCTTCTCAGAAGGTCCAGCACCATGTACAGCACAAAAGGAGACAGACCACAAAGAGGTCAGTGTTATGGATGTGTGCGAAGTAGCCATTAACACAGGCAGTGAGTATTCAAAAAGAAACTCTCCGTTTGACAGTGCTGTCTCCTAGATGGCTTAGCAACATAAAAACACAACTTACTTTTAAAAGAGCACTTTTAATTTTTGTCAGATATGAAAGTACCTGTAAGTTTAATGTGCGCTTTGCGAAGAGAGGAGCGCGCTGAGAGTAGTTAGCAAATTTCCATTTTACGAGCTGTATCTGTGGTATGATGGCTTCGTATACAAAATTCTAGCACCACTGTTAACACTGAGAAATTTTTGCGTGCACTTTGCAGGAGCGCTGCTCTTGTGCCAGAGGAATAGGAGCTGTGTGCTGTAATGACCTGCGTTGCTCACTGCACTTCATTGGGCTAAGGGATGGGCTATCAGTCGGGTTTGGATTCATGGTCTGCAGCCGTATTCTAGGGTACAGGAAGCCCTAGGGAGTGGAACTCTTGTATCTTCTTTTTCCCCTTTTCCCATAGTAATACAGCTGCTAAAACAACTTCTCTGCAACTGTAGACAAAGAGGTGATGTGTCAACCTGGGATATATGCATCTGTATTCACAAGCGAAGTGGTGAACAGCACGTGTTCCTGCCTCCCTCAGCTGTGCTCCCTCTGTTAATCAGTCAGTCTGATACTCCAAAACCGTAGTAGCACGTGTTCCTGCCTCCCTCAGCTGTGCTCCGTTAATCAGTCAGTCTGATACTCCAAAACCGTAGTTTTCTGAAGACTTTAATTTTTGAAATTGGAAGACACCTAGTAACAAAGCCTTGTCCTCATTTTTTTTTCTTTTTTTAATTTCTTGCTCAAAAAGCCAAGATAAAAACGCTCTCTTTGAGATCTTTTTAGATACCTAAGATCCAGAGTTTACCTAAAATTCACCTGATTTGCAAGCTGACAATGTAAATTCAGAGGTCAGTTATGTATCCAACTTGCAGTGGTTCTCACTCTGATGTATTTGCCTGAGAGAATGGAGGAAGACATCTGGACACAGGCACACGTGGAGTAACAGAGGAATGCAGGATCTTAAATAGGCTGTTTCGACCTGTATGAGCTGCAGCCCTGTTTGGCTGTAGGGTACCCGTCTTTTTAAACCTCCTTCTGTGGAAGTGCTGGGTGAAAAAAAAACCCCATCATATTGATTATACAAACATTTGTGCGTTGCTAATACTTTTTCTTAGCATGAAACTCTGAGACTAACAAAACATAATTAGACTTTATTGAGATTTTTATTTTCCCCTAACCGAGGCTAGTTTCTATAGCTCAGGGGTGGGAGCCTATGTCCTAAAGGCTATGTATGACTCACAACTGTTTCATACAGCTACTATCACATTGTTTTTTCACATTATTTATTCACACTAATATAGAACAGTACTGACATGTTTATTAACACATGGATGTGGCTTGCTAAATATGTTTAAAAGCCTTGGCCCCTAGCTAGAAAATTAATTCTCTGATGTTGCTGTGAACTGCTCTACCACAACACGTTTCCGCTTGCAAAGACACCAAGGTTTTGTGAGTAGCCTTAGTCATCGAGTCCCACCTGCGTGTAATCAGCATGGGATGGACAGAGATAAATCACTGCCCCTAATGTGGGATGGATGCAGTACAACCTCTTTACATCCAGCTCAGAAATCACTGATTCAGCTGTCTTGAGCTTGCAGTTTTATATATCATATGTATTTGGATTTTGAGTCTTGCATGAAGGTAGTGGGGAAAAGTGTAACTTGATATGACAAGAAAAAAGGATTTTTTTTTTCTTTATAACATTGAATCATTACAGATACGTGAGGGAATGAACATGCCTGAAATTCACTCATTTTTAGTCTTTCAGCATCTCTCCTGCGAGACTGAAGTCTGTCTCGTCTTCTGTAGAAGAAATGCTTCCTTTTTTCCCTTTTTCCCCTTCATCCCAGCTGCTGTGTTGTCAGGAGACATGCCCTTTCTTTGATGAACATCCTTCTGAGCTCACTGGCTTGGAGGACTAGACTAACTGCTCAGGCTGGAAAATGGCAACCAGCTCTGTCAGCCTTTTGGGGGTGAGCGGTTGTCCTTTTGAGTAGGGTGATTGCTACGGGGACGGTCAACATGGGTGGTCCTCTGGGTTCCTTCCACTGATGCTCCACTGTCTGCAGTGTCTTCTAATCCTTCTGGATGGGGCAAACTCTGGATGAGACTGAGCTTGTCTGAGGCAGATGGCTTTCTCCATATGGAACCAGCTTCCCAGTGACAGGACAAGGTGGAACAGGATGCAGAGAGAAAGTTCACGTCTTGGTGGATAGGTGTCTGTCACAAATAATCACGGAGATTTCCAGTCTGTCTTAGGACTTTAGATGTATATTAGTAACTTCACTGTAACGTAAGGGTTTAAATACCCCAGGTGCCTTTGAAAGTAAAGTACTTCACGTTGCTTTGTGTATAAACCGTCCAATCTAAAGCTTGCTCTAAGAAATTCTGGAGATTGTTACTCTAACTTTGGTGATGGGGACATGTAGGGAGGGCACTTAGGGTGTAAAGGTACCATGACAGGTATACAGCAGAGCAGGGATCAGAACCCAAGGAGGTTCTCAAAAGCTCTGTGACCAGCAAAGGCCCCGCAAGCCATACCATACGCTCTTCGGCATGATAGGCTCTGCCCAATCTATCTAGCTTTGCTGGAAAGCCCAATAACGTTAGTCTGAGCAAAGCACAGTGCAGATGGCATCTCTACAACTCCTGATACCCAATCCTAGCTAGCTGATGTCTCTGGGTGCTACTGTGTTAAGCTATGTAAATTCTCAAGAGGCCTGCCACCCACTGCTCTGCTTGTAAGTGCAGAGCTGTCTGCATGTAAGGTACAGAATGCATGTGTAAGAAAAATTGTTATTAAAGGGATGCTCTTAAAAATAGTCTTCAACCTTATAGTTCCCTCCAAAAGTGTAACTTCATGTGGTGGGTCTGTCAGTGTTTTGGATATACTTGTTTCATCTCCGCCTGCGGTGAGGTGTATATACAGCTGAACAGATAATACGTAAAATACAGTATACATCATTTTAATGCAGGAAATTGGAACATCTTAAATACATACATTTAGTAGCATCTTAGGACTTTGAATTTTCCTACGGTTTCCAGGCAGTGTTTTCTCTCCTCATAACGTTAAGAATGAGTGGTAGTTCAAGCCTGTATTCAGTATGTCCATGCGAAAAGGAATTTGCTTTGATTAAAATTGATCAAAGAATTTGATTAAAATCTAGGACTTCTCTTCCTGTTCTCTTTTCTTGGTTCTGAAATACTGAATCTCTTTTTATATGGTGTCTGTATAGAGGAGAAGATAATGGGTGAGATGATACCACATTGAAAAAGTCTAGGGAGATGGAGCTCAGAATTAATACTTAAAACTACGTTGAAAACTTTGTTGTACAAAATAAAGCTTAGGGTTTTTAAAATAAAAGGATAATAGGACATGGACATGGAGCCTGGAGGCTTGTACTCCTCATCTGTTGCATAAGCTTGGACAAGTTGCTTTGCATTTTCCTGCCTTGTTTCTACTGTCAGAGATAAGTATATTTTGCTTGCTATTGTTAAAGCACTTTAAAATCTCAAATTAGTAGTATTACGGACTTCAATAAGCTTATTTAAAATCCTTTTCCTCCTCACTCACGCCTTCCCAAAGACAAGAATAAATAGAGTATTTCCCCCCGCCCCCCCCAATGGTATTGATTGACTGGTATTCTGCAGCTGTTTAAGGTTGGATTTAACTGATCCTTTTTGTTGTCCAAACATCCACCGAACAACTTCAGATCGAGAGTACTGTTGGGTACATTGCGTCTCTAATTCTGTTAGGGGCATGGTCTGGCACAAGGTACTTCCTTGTTCATTTTACTTAGCAGGCTGGAGTTTCAAAACCTCCTGGCGTAACAGACCTTTGCAGGCTGCTTTACACGAATATTGGCTAATCTTAGGCATCGATCAGCTAGAGCGTGGAGCATCGTGGACGGGGTGGCTGACCTCTAGCCTGATGATGATGGAAATGTGGTTTGTATCACCCGAAAGCACGCTGTCAGGCCATTAATATGCTCTGCATCATCATCAGGTCCTGTGGCACAGCATTTCAGCAGCATTCCTCAACACCTAAATCACCTTCTGGCCCTCAGACGTGCTCGGAAGGGCTGATGAACCCCTACCAAACTGCCATTACCCAGCAGCAGTAGACAGTTCGCCCGGTGTCGTTTGGCACAGCAAGTACCCATCTCTGTGCAGGGAGTCCTTGTCCTGAGATGCTGCTGCTGTTGAGAATGCAAGAAGTGAATTCAAGCAGGCAGATGAGGTGGTTAACCAGGGAAAATGCATCGATCTTGGATAGCCAAGTGTTACAGAAATAGTTTAGTTCAATGGAGTTAAATCACCACGCTTAGAAGAAAAAAAAACTGCCCAGTGAAACCTCCTTGCTTTAGAAGCAGCCTGGCACACGGATGTGCAGCTTTGCAT